TGAAACTTTTTTTGAATTTTTTTCATGGTATTCTCAAGAAGGTCGAGATACCTTTCCAACAAGGCAATAATGAAAAATTGCTTTTGAAAAACACCGCTGTGGTGACCGTCTGTTGAAATCAACCAGAAAATAGAAAATCTTGACCCTAAGGGGCCTAGGGCTGTAACCCCACTAAAACAGCCGATCCGGAAAAAGTGCCCATATACTTTTTTACTCCTCATGAGCTGAGGAATCTGTGGTAGAGAGATTTTTACGGAATTGTGGGATACCCTGTATAAAAATATAAAAATAAATAAATCACAGCGGACGACAGTTCGCGCGAGTGACGAAACCGCGAAAAAAAAAATAAGTATCATAGCGTAAAAGCATGAGCTGAGTCCAAAACAGCCATTGTTCATGAGTCTATAGGTTGGCAACTAGACTGACCCCCTAAAAACTCAAAAGTTGGAATTTCTATGGGCCTATCCATCGGATATTTTTCCATATGTTGTGTAGATAACATGTGTAAAGCTCGGTAGATGATTATGTGAATTTCTTGAAAAATGACATTTTTGGTTGATATAAATACAACTTCGTTTAACCACATCAATTTGGATGAAAATAAAACACATTTGCATGAAGAATTTACTCCTTAAAGTAATCTCATAGGCTTTCATCTCGCAATATAGAAAGAATTATTTTATGAAAAACCAAAATTAACATTCAAATCCGCCATAAATTAAGAAAAAACATTGAAGTTTGAAAAAAAGGTCAAAATTGAGAAGTGCTACCGCATCGCACCGAGCAATAGAGCGAGATTCAGCTCACTCACAATATGACTTGAGCGAGTAGTGAGTTGCTCTGACACTCATTCGGTGAGTGGACAAGCGCACCGTGCATTCGAAAACTCAGCACATTGAGATACGTATCGCGTTGAGCGTGCGTTTTATAAGCACTGAAATTGAGTTTTACGTCCACAAAAGGTCTGACCCCAAAACATCGATATTCTGAATCGAGAGATCAATAACTTCCAACAACTCCCTTTACATCGAAATCGATCAATTCGTTTGAAAAATCAGCACTTTAAAAATGTCAAATGGTTTTCCTTTACAAGTCCATTACACACATATGTGTATCCGCTATTTTGCACAGTTGTTTTTGAAAAGGGAGGAATCTCTGCATCATTTTGAATGTCCACATATGCAGGTATTATTTCATAGCACACAGAAAAATTATCTACCAACTATTTTCATCACACAATTTATAACAGATATGTTGTGTTTTAAATTTTGGTCTCGTCACTCGTTCTTCACCTTGACAGAGGCTTATCATTTGATATAATATACAATATATTCATACATACATACCTATACATCCACATATAATGGCTAAATTGAATACAAAAATTAAATTTGTAATATTTAAATAAATGTAAAAATTGTATCATTGATTATAATTACTTTGGTATCGTCATCGTTTGAAACGTCACAGATTTAGCATTTTTGAAGAAACTGTTGCAATATACAAAAATGTTTATTTGTTTCCAAATTTACAATTTCTTATAACAAAAAAAAACTCACGAATCAGGTCTCCACATGTTTTTTAACCAATCGACTTCAATCAAACGATATTCAGAGGTCATATTCTCTGAAAATAGGATCAAAATGCAAGAACAATAAGTAATCATACGTATTTACAGAAAAAAGAAAACGAACGGTCGTTATTAGTCATAAAATATTTTGAATGAAATTCGTACAAATTTGTGCAGTGAGTTTTCTAGTTCGACTAGCAACCACTATGAAGCGATGTTCATATTTTCTGAATGCTTGAGTTAATGGAAAAAGATCGCAAGCCGAGACAAAATTAAATTGAATTTACAAGAAAAAAATCTCTTAATATTTTGAAGATCGATGTTATTAAACTTTGAATGATATAAATTATTTTTCTTTTATTTCTTTTCACTTTTGACAATTCTGAAAACAGCTGGGAAAAGTTATTACTTCGGAATAGGTAATCACCCTACCAACTTTTGATTAACTTTTTGGAATGTTCACTGAATTAATATTAAATTGGAATACCTGGCAATCGAAGACGATGATCTTTCCATGTTTGTGCGAAAAATATATCTGCAGCGTAAGTCATACTATTTTCATCAATTGAATCCAAACCTTTTTTTAATAAATATTCAAAATAATTCCATTGTTATGTGTATTTGTTGGGAAAAAAATCACTGTAATCATAAAGATTGCTTATTGAAACTGACCCATAACTGTAACGTGAAAAAACACAGACGTTGGAAGACCGTCTTTATTAGGTGGGCGCATTTTATCATATGTTTTTGGGTCCTCTGGTAAAATATCGGCAAACTCCAAAGAGGTTCTAATCAGATTAAGATTTTTTATTTTTTGGTTTGGGTATTGTTCACTTGTCCACAATTTTACTTACTCTTCTGTTGATGACGTGCAGAAAGAAATTAGTGCAAAAATATAAAATATTTGAAAAATCATCGTGTGCCTTCAAATAATTGTAAATCAAAATTTAATTCCAATTTTACACTTCATCCGAACAGTATGACGACGACAATGATTTTGGACACGGTCCCAAATTTCAATGTGCACTCAACGGCATCACCGGGACTACTGCAAACGTTGGACGCTTTAAAACTCCATTGAACTAACAAAAATCTCTACAGTGAGTTCAGAGAAATTTTATTGCACAATGCGACATATTTAAAATTAGAAACACTTGTCTTTAATAAGTTCGTATTTTTTGCTGTCGCTTTCTTTACCCACTTTAACTACGACATTCTTCGTATCTTCATCATGGTTGACTTTACTCTTTTTACTGTACTTTTGCCTTAATCGTATATATAAGTATCTTGAAGTATGTCTCTCTTAACACATACAAAAATGTCTCTCTTTAATTTTGCAGCTTTTCGCTCAATTTCCCCATTGAATGGGTGCAAATAAAGGATAATAAGGCAGATCCCTCTTTTTATGTTCATAAACGTTCATCTAAATAGGTTGCAAAACAGTGCGCACGAAATGAAATAACAATGTATGAACGGAAAGTGATGAGAAAGAAAAAATCCAGCTTAAAAAGCATTTTTTGCCACTTATATATTTTTTTTCTTGGAGTTTTCATCTTTTTATGTAATATTCAGTATTAATTTCAAATGTTTTCCATTAGATTCCAGCAAAACTAGAGCATCCATCTCATATGGAAAATATCAGTTGTTATCTCGATTTCTGTTTATTTATATAAAGTTACGCATCTAACGGACTTCATTCGTATTTTGATGAAATATATGTAACTAAAAAAAAATTTACCATACATAGGACGACAGTTCGCGCGAGTGACGAAACCGTCTTAATGTGGCATAAAGTTGACTCGCTATATTATATACACGAAATATTCCATATTCCTTAGAAGGCATTTGGCCTTTATGGATGTATTGTTGGAAAACTCTTGGGTCATATATTAAGAAAAAATAACATTGAAGTTTGAAAATCGGCCCACTTGTCTTCAAAATATGGCCCAAGGGTTTAAAAATAAGGGTGAAAATTCTACGACCATAGAGCCTTATGATACTTTGAAAAATTTATCCATTTTCTCAATTCTGATCGTTTTGGACATATTTGGGATTAAAGTATATGAAAAACGAAGAATTCCACAACTTTTCGATTTTGCTGCCAGCTTCTAAAAGTAATTTTTTACTTTTGTCCGTACAGTCACCGAGGCTCTTTCGCTTGACACCCTGGAAATGTGTATCGTAGGAAAGCTCCTAAAGTGAGCTATCGATTGGTCTCAATTTGAGTGGAGTCCAAAAATTTGGAATTAGGATGACAAAAAATTAAAAATTGACCGTCTGGTCGGTTTCATTGATTACATCGATTTAAGCCCTACTGAAAATTAATTGGCTCTTATTGGTTCAATAGTTTATGGTAACAATTTTTGGCACCAAAAAAACCTAAAGTCGATATTTTAAATGTATTTGAAAATTATTCAAATTTATTGTTTTAATTGTTTAATTTGGAAAATTTCTCTCAAAATTACTAATATGAAATATGAAATCTTTCTGGAGGTGAATAATGAGTGACAAAACCAAAATTTGAAACACAAAGTTTCTTCTATCAATTTTGTGACGAAAGATAGATAATTTTTCACAGTAGTGAATGAAAACATATTAGTAAATGAAAACATATCTTATTTCAATAGTCCATGATGATTAGGATGTAGCATTTTTCAAACATTTTAACGGCGAGGGTAATAACCTTGGCTATGGGATCCCCTGATCACGAATCAGGCGTTTTTTTGCGAAAAAAATATAAACTGAGATGTCACGGGTCAACGGCGAAGTATCAAAAATGGGAAAAATTTGGATTTTTTGAATTTTTGTGTGAGGCATAAAGATACACTACACTTTCAGTATTGCTTATATTTATGCTTAAATCATAAAAACAGGACCCAATAACACATTCTAGTAGAAAAATTCATTCAAATTCAAAAATGGAAACCTTCACCATGGAACAACATTTCATTGAAAATTTTCACTTCTGAACACAAATTTATGAATATTAAAGGATCCCTGATCCGGAATGATCAATAATTGTCTGAAATTAATGTGTGCAAAGTATCCCATGTCATAAATTTGTTTTTGGTACCAAATGGAGACAATAATAAAAAAATACAGAAAAAAGACAAAAATTCAAGCAAAAATTATAATATTTTCACCACTTTCTTGAATAAAAAGGCCAAAACTCCTCCGCATCTTAACTTTTCGTGTATTTTACTCAATTTGTGACATTGCAGCATCAATAACATCTGATCTTTAGTAGGGTGTAGCAGAAATATGAAAAAATTGAAAAACAAATACGGCGAGGGTAATAACTTTGGGTATGGGATCCCCTGATCACGAATCGGGCGTTTTTTTGCGTCAAAGTATCAAAAATGGGAAAAATTTGGATTTTTTGATTTTTTTCTTGAATTTTTGTGTAAGCCATAAAAATACACTATACTTTCAATATTGCTTATTTTTATGCTTAAATCATCAGAACAGAACCCAAATAACACATTGCAAAAGATAAAAATCCATGCAAAGTTAAAAATTGGTACCTTCACCATGAAGTGACAATTCATCGAATTCATCCGAAAAATCTCAAAAATTCCAATTTTTAAATGATTCATTTCTGAATGTAAATTGAAGGTTCCCTGATCCGGAATGATCAATAATTATCTGAAAATGATGTACGCAATATTACACAGCGGTAATTCATATCAGAAATTTATTTTCGGTACCAAGTGGTGACCGCATCGAAATATACGTATATATACAAAAAAAGGTATGTACACACACGGGAATAATGTATAGATTATTAGTAGAAATGATTTTTTTTCTTAAATCTATACAAAAGTTTAGATATCTCAACAAAAATTTATTTTTTATTAAAAAAATATTTTCTCAATGTCAATAAATATTGCGATACATATTTATCAACGAGCGCCAAAATACATCATTTAATACAGCCTTTTCTCTTCACACGAAAGAACAACAACAATTACATGGCTACACTCGAACGGCGACTATAGAGAATGCAACCACTACTTATGCAAACAACGTTGTCGTTTGTGTCTTACATGCTTCCACTGACTCGCCAGTTGAAGTGATGCGTGTGTAGTAGTTGACTTCTATATAGTTGCCGTTCCAATGTAACAAGACACGTTGTTTGCATAAGTAGTGGTCGCATCCTCTATAGTCGCCGTTCGAGTGTAGCCATGTAATTGTTGTTGTTCTTTCGTGTGAAGAGAAAAGGCTGTATTAAATGATGTATTTTGGCGCTCGTTGATAAATATTATCGCAATATTCATTGACATTGAGAAAATATTTTTTTAATAAAAAATAAATTTTTGTTGAGATATCTAAACTTTTGTATAGATTTAAGAAAAAAAATCATTTCTACCAATAATCTATACATTATTCCCGTGTGTGTATTCACACATGTTTGCTAGTGATCAATAACTTATGTCACTGTAAATATTCGTGATTATCGTGATTATGGTAAATATGATTTTTTTTCTTCACAATAATGTCAACAATTATTAATTTTATTCTGTGTTGTGTGCTTCACATAGTTGCTGTATGCGAGGCTTGGAAATCACATATTTTCTGTTATTCACAAATGACAACCGTAAATTTTGGAATATTTGCCATTACATTCCCAACTCATACAAAACTGTATTTATTTGAAGTTTTTTTCAAGTTCCGAGCCTCTAAGTGATTTGATTCGACACAAGATCTCTTTTCAACCAGTTGGTGAAACAACATTCGGATAAATTGAGAAGAGATAATGCGTCGACGTTACTTTCTAAGAAATCTATGTCAACAAAAACGTTGAATAGCCATAACATTCGCACCATTTATCAAATCACTTGTACGAAATGTGATTCCAAATACAAAGGTCAAACTCGCTTACAAAACTTACAGTCGAGTGCCGTATCGATGCGATGATAAACAAAATCACATGAATCGTCAAAATTTCAAACAAGCATCAATTATTGTTTTACGAAGTGAACATTCAACAGATTCAAAATATTGTCGTTGATTTTATATGGATTAACAAAAAAAAAACACGATATAAAAATGATGATTTAATACGCGTTTGAAAAAAAAAAATATATTTTTTGTTCCAAAAGTATATCTTGCTTGACTTACAGACGACATTCTAAATGTCAGCTAAATAATCTGAATTTTTTGAAACACAGTGATTCATATGAATCATGTCTACTTCATAGAGCATGATAGATATATACACAACACAAATATGAATAAAACCGTCGCAGCGCATTCAATTGCAATTTGGACAATGATGAAGCAAATTTAATGAAAGCGATTCATGATAAATATAAATTAGATTATCGCAGTTGCTTATCTGACTCAAACCAATGAGAGAACAAATCACAATGAGTTTAATTGTTTGCTTAAACTTTTAGGCAACAAGAACATAGCCAATATTCTCATCCAACGCGGAGTCAATGTTGATGCCCGAGATACATACAACTGTACTCCGCTACATTATACTGCAATAAATGGTAATAATTCCAAAAAATCGAGCCGAACAGCTATGCAATTATTTACAATGTCCGTTTCTCTGATTAAATTTGCAGGCCATAAAGATGTGGCCGAGCTTCTCATTCAACACCAGGCTAATGTTAACGCAGAAGAGATGAATAGATGGACGCCGCTCCATTCTACTGGAAAATTTGGTAATAAAAGAATTATTGATTAGAACGAACATTACTTTAAAATTTCGTTTCAGGTCATGAGGATGTGGCTGAGATTCTTATCCATCATGGGGCAAAAATTAATGTGCAAGAGAACATATATAAATGGACACCTCTCCACTTGTCAGCAATAAATGGTGACAATCACAAAAGTGAATTTATAAATTCTTTTCTATTCTACGATTATTGTTTCAGGACATAAGGATGTGGCTGAGCTTCTTATTCAACACGGAGCTAATGTAAATGCAATAGATAAAGACAAACAAACGCCGTTACATTTGGTTGCAAAAATAGGTAATAGTATAAGCTAGGGGCTTTTTGATACAAAATATACACAAA